GTTCAGTCAAACTCAATGCCTCTCGAAATAAAAGGCTTTGCCTGATTGTAGGGTGGATAAGGCCCCAACGGACTGAAGTTCTGAGGCTGAAAAAAATCTGTCAGCTGTAACACCCTTTCGGTGCCTAGCTGTCATGCCACCCGAAGGAAGCATGTGGGCTGGGATATTGCCAGGTTGCTCAAGCCTAGGCAGGAGAAGGCGAGATGCAGAGGCCGGGTTCGAACCACGGAACTTTGAGCCACCAGTAACTTTGCGCTCTAACCACTGAGCCATCGCGAGAGTTATTAGTCTCATTCGTCAAGCAAGAAGCACTGACACTGATGTTTGCGGGCGATATGAATTCTCAGGTCGGTCGTCTGAGCTCCTCGGAATCATATCTGAGCACTCTATTCGGTGTCGACGCTCATCACACAGACAACGGAAATTAACTCCTCCAGTTGTGTTCTGATCATTATCCACTTGGATCCAGTTGGATCACGTGACTATCAGCCACCAGTGGAGAGGTAAAATTCTGGGGCACACAACTTCATTCCGATCAAGCACTGATGTGATCACCCTGGGCTGTTTGTTTCCCTTCGGGCACTCGCAACTCAGTAATCCAATCCATCCTCGATAAACCGAAATAGCTCAACGGTATGATCTGAGCTAGCCCAACAACACCCTGCAGCAAGCCAAAACTTTACTGGCAGCGAGTATGTGGATGAGGCACGGCTAAATGTGGAAGCAGCTATGCAGGCGGAGTTTAGTATTGTTTGTCCAGTTTCTCCGATACAGTCAAACGAAAATTAGATATCGTCGAGATTTTTAGTCCTGACCGATTCCAGGTAATCCGTACAAGCAAGCAACGAGTACAACAGCGCTCGAAAATGCCTCAAACGCCAAATAGTGAGGAGCTTAAGGAAAGAGACAGAGTCTTGGTGGATATCGAGAGCTTGGGAGATGGAGAAGGCTCTTGCTATCGGGAACGGCCGCGCTAAATCAAACGATACGACCGACTGGCCCGAGAAAACAACGTTCAGTGAAACGGCAAGTGAAAACGGTGGCTCAATAATTCACTCCCGGAAAGTCTGCTTGAAATATGGGTCAAACCTTTCGAACAGTACTTTAGATGGCCTCCTGCAATACAGCCTCTAAAGATAGTGCATATTGGCAAATGGAATATAAACCTTATTCATCCATTGGAAGAGTAAATAAAGTACAAACTATCCTTACTGAAATATGAAAAGTCACCAGGACCAGCTTTCTTAAAAGGTGCATAATCCCCGGTTAACTATCTAACAAAGGTCATCGGTGCAATATGGATTGAAGAGAAATCACCTGCAGAATGATGTATATCGACAGTTATTCCTATCTTCTAAAAGGGTACATGAACGCTGTGGCATAGAAGATGCCCTCTGTTCTAATCCTTTGAAGGTTGACTGAAATTAGGGAGAAACAGATCCGTGAGAACAAAGTTCGGTTCCGTCCTGCAACAGGATGCATCGGTCATATTTCCACCCTTAGGCAGATTCCGGAATGACGACTCTGCTTCCATTGACCAAGAATTGTTGTCGTTCTTTACCTAAAAGCTTCCTTTGATTCTGCAGACCGTCAGGCACAATGGCAATGTCTGTGTAGCAAGGGTGTTCCCCACAAATTCTTGATCTTCAGTAAGGCGCTTTATGCCTGCTCCCGGGGATACCTGGAGGCCTATGAGATGTTCTATTCTGAGTTCACTACATCAAGTGATATTAAGCAGTGCTGTACTCCTTCAAATTTCCTTTTCAACTCCGTCGTTGATAAGATTATGGAAGACTCAGTATCAGCCTCTTTTGCCTGTGGGTCGAAGTGCTCCCGGGTCGTTCGCTCACAGATATCGAGTGCGACGACGACGACCTGACGCCGTCCTAATGCAAACAATATTAAATAACCTAAATAATTCTGCCTCACGGTTTCGTATGCGCTTCACACGTGCAAACTGCAAAGTGCCACCGCAAGACTGGGTGGGACCCAACTCTTCCATAATACTTGCAGATAAGCCTATTTAGACAGTTGACAAATTTTATACCTGGGCAGCTGTATCAGCCCTGGTTGTCTCGCGAACGATATTTCCAACCGGATAGGGAAGGCCAAAGCAGCTTTTGTGAACTCGCGTCACCTGTAGCGTAGGCGTGACATCAGCTTATCCTGTAGGGTCGAGTTTAAAATTCCGTGGTGCGCTCCAAACTGTTATATGGATCAGAAACCTGGCCGTGGTGCGCCGAGGACGTCAAAAGACTCTCGGTGTCTGACCACCGATATCTTCGGAGCATTGCACGGGGCTGGTGGGAACACCGGATGGTATTCCCTCGATAGATGAACTGAGAACACGGCATAGGTTGGGCTTGTTTGGCCACATGCTGCGTGTGCAAGTTGACTGAATTTCCTAAGGAACCCTTTTTGCACAACCACGCGAAGAGTGGAAACGGGCAAGAAGAGCTTAAACAGTGGCTTGACGGTGAATTTTGAAAGCCAATAACAGTAAACTTAATTGCGCTGGTCATTGCCGTCTCCCCGAATCGGGAATCCGAGAAGGGAGCATCAACTGTTAGAGTTAGTTTCAGACATTTCCCAGTTGTGCTTTCAATAGACCTCGTGCGTCCAAGCTGTTACCTTCATTGTATGGCCCCCTCCAAATTTCCTCAATTAAAAATTCACTGACAGTCCTCTATTTACACATCAATTATATCAGCTACCGTCCCCGATTCGCAAATATCTAGCCCAGCTCAAATCGTCAGTGAACTAAACTGTGACAGCTATAACCACTATACGACAAGTACGCTTTTCTTAAAGCTTATGATGATGATGAAGCTATGAGTCCATTTGTACAACTTTCCAAGATATTAGAAATATACCTTGTCTGGAACTCTGTTCCGACCATGATAACGTCCCCTACATAAAACACCAAACACTACACTCAAGCTGAACAACGACAAACTCAGATGCTTTCTACTCGCCGAAAATGTGCACATAGCGGAGTCACAACGAAAGTCCGTTTGTTTGCTCTTCAGGTCGAGGCTGCAGGTGCAGCTGAATGAGCAGGAATGCAAGAAAACTTAAGAAATGCACTGTAAATGACGGTCTTAACTAGCTCACAAATTGTAGACCATAACCGCTGAAAATAAAATAGGTAAAACTAAAATCAACATGAAGATTTCAGAGCTTGTGGTCATCGTTCGGTACACTTAACACGTTTCGGCGGTGTATACATGATCAACTATTAAGATACTCCAAGTAGAAGAGTGGCTGTAGCAATCCACGAAACAGACCACCTGTTTTTTAACTAAACAATCCAATTACCAACGTTGTTCGAGGCTGGAGATCTCCACCGGTCAGTAAGGCACTGCGGGGAAGCAATTGTATTTCCTATACGTTGCATAACTTACTGACTTCCTTTGAATCATCCCCAAGCATGGATACTGTACAAACAAAACGGTGAACAGATGCATCGGACAACGATTAAGGAGACTCATAACAGCATGAGGAAATACAACCCAGTAGTCACGGAGTAGAGAGGAACGTTTAGAGACAATGGAACCAGACACCTTTGAAAGACAACGTAGCAACAGAACGCAAAAGTGAGTCCAACACCGTAAAAGACGGTTTGGCATCGAAAACAAACCGGAGAGACCAAAAACAACATAAATGGATGCGATCACAATCGAACGTTTATTAGATACTTTCCTAGGAATAAATCTCACAGAGCTAGCAGAGATCCTGTTTATCAAAGGAATCATTTGCAGTCACTGGGATAGACAAATACAGATAGATGGATAGATAGATAAATATGGAGCCTATAAGTAGCAATAAAATCCAAAGATCGCAATAAAAGTGATGAAAATAGCCACTTCTCACAGGCATAGCAGGCAGTGCACACTGCAACTTGCACTACATGAACGAAGTCAGAGGACTAGTTGAAGACGAAACCAGCGAAATGACAAAACTACAAAACTTGACAAAGTAAACCAAAAAAAACTTGAAAAGGCTCAAGGCCCCAAAAGGAAAACGGGCTAAAAATGTCGGAAGATACAAACGCACAGTGAATACCCCCCCTTCCACGGACTTCCCCAAGTATACGAGGAAGCACAACGTTTACGGTGAATTGTATTGCTACCCGGACTTTTGAGGGCAACTGAAATGTCTCATCAACCGGCTCCACCATTCATCGGTTTTTGTAGCTATCGAGAAACACATAAATCAGTGGTGACGGGATGATTGTGTCATATGAATTTAGCTCACTGCTCACATCGGCTGACCGTGGTTGTGCCGACAGACCATCGCTGGACTGCTGGTAAACCGTAGAGTTCCAGGCAACCTGTGAGAAAGGGGATAACTACAAACTGTCTAACCTCAGCCTAATGACATACTCTTTGTTCCACAGAGGATAATTTAAGAGTCTGAAAGCAGTGTTAAAGGAATCGCTAGTTTTTTCTTGGCTGTTGCCCCAGTCGAAAGGTAATAACTTGAAAGAACCGTACTACCTCATTCCACACCTCGACCACATCAAGAACAGCGAGCTATCATGTCCTAACACACCCCTTAGCAACATGATCGGTGGTCCGATTTAATACAAAAGCAGAAGAAGAAAACAGGTTGGTATTCCTGAATATTGTCATTACGTATCGACCTATGGAGGTATGAACAAATACAAAGGAAAGAATAAAAGGATCGCTCCCCAAACCAGCAACGCAACCAACCAAAATAAGGTAAACATAGCTGCATAGAACATTATTCAAGAGTTTCTATACCCACCGAAACGCTGAGGACTCCAAGAAGGAAAGATGCCATCAGAAAGCTTTCTTAGACGATTGGTTGCACGAGAAAATTTTATTTGGTGATCTTTCCGGACGCGAAACTAGACTACTTCGGTCACAGAACAGGAAAACCGGAGAATTCCCCTTCCATATGTCAAGAATTTTTCTGAAATGCCTGCAAGACTGCCCAGACAACATGGAATAACACCAGCACACTAAACTACTGATATGCTACGGACACACTTCCAAAGCCATGGGAAGACACTGAGCCATGGTGAGGAACAATGTTATGGACAAATTCCAATCAAACAACTGCGTGGAACACTAAGTGAGACAAACTATGGAGAGACCATTGACCAGATCACACGAATTGCGGTTTGTCAGTCGAAGACAAGACCACTTACCGCTGGTTTCTGTGCAAGAAGATCGAGAGGCGGAAGAGCAGTCGAAGCAATTTACAGATAATAGCCAAAGCGAGAGCATGCTATAACCCACTATTCGACAGACGACTAACCATCTACACTGTGTTTGAAATTTCCTCATAACCTCTCCTCAACTGTGGCACGTGGAAGCTGGATTCAACCTAACTCGAATGCGATTTGCTGCATGGATTCTTTTTTTCCACGGAATTCCTCCTGGCTTTGTGCATTCGTCGGATAGACAGCGCCACAACAAATACCCCAGTGGTCACCAAACTTAACGCCAACACATGAGTACAAAATTCCATGTGTCATTTCAAACCTAGAATCATCGACTCAAACCACCTATGTAGATGGTGCACCCTTGTATTGTTGCATTTATCCCGGCTGTACAGACTGCTGGATTTCATAGACATACCATTGCCTGATATAGGAAGACACTAGATTTCATGAATAGGTAGCAGATCAGTACGATGGAGCTACCGGTGTGACGGTGGATGCTACTGAGGAGGCATGCGAGTAGTATGTGGTTTTTGCGTAAATCCACTTCGCGTCTATTGAAAAGTGAGAGTTGTTACGGAATCTGTGCTTCGTAGCATTCGTTTACATTTGAGTGATAGTCAATAAGTATCCAGGAAAGTTCAGGAAGACGCGTTCGAGAAGAAGGCGGATGCATATGATGGTTTTGCTTCCCTGTCCAGCAGTCTATAATTGTTCAGTTGGTGTTTTCCAATAAGGGACTCTGAAGTGAACACCTGCTTCCTTTCACCAGTTGTGCCCTTTCCGGGTCTGAAAAGTATAAACGGGACTGACAATGAAGACCTTAGGAGGAATGGCTCGCCTAGCTCAGTGTGGGACACTTCATATAGGGGTGTTTGTTTATACAACTAATGTGTCTTCCAATTCAAAATAGAGTAACATGACCGAAAGGGATCATTTGGGAGAACACAACCTTTGCGGAGTAGCTGAAAATATACCGCTTACTCTCTGGTGAATAATCGACAAGCGACAAGGAAACATTTCCACCAATAGCGTCAATTTCGAAGCAGGAGATATAACACCAATGAATCTTCTCTGGTTGGCAAACCCGAGAAAGAATGCGATGAATTCACTTCTCCGACGTATGAATTATTCACCGACCTAATCAGTCATCAGTGAAGCTATTTGGATTGCCCTCAGAAAAACACTTCTTTTAGCATTCATCTGAAGCTTGTTTTAAGTTCAGAACAGTAAATGGAAATGAAAGGCAAAGCCATGCGGGCATCACTTTCCCCAGACTCTTCATCTTTTATATGACCTAGGTTTGCCGCCGAGCGTCTCAAAATTCGGGAACAGATAAAGCTAACCAGCAGCATTCCCTAGGTTGCTTTCTTAATTTAGGACCTTTCCAGCCAAAAATTAGCTTCCTTACCACAGTTATGTTTGGTGGGCCGTTCGAAAGCAGTAGTACATCGAGTTCCATGTCCAAAGTCTAATAGTTTGATTTATTTTCATGGTTCCCACGAGTTTATCTTCTATGAGGCGGCGGTGTTTGGGTTCTTACTTCTTTAGAAAGTAGATACAAAATATATTGCGCTTGGCTTATCAGAGTTTCGATATTTCTGCAAGAAGCGAAATATTTGCCTTCTAGTCGACAGCTTTTGAATCATCAAAAATAGAGAACCATTATCTTGATCCTGCTGCAAGCGCCATTTAGAGGCAGATACAGGAACTCTGCAATTCATGCCACTATATTGCTCACACTCCATCCTACCTACAGGGACATACACTGCATTTAAATATACTGTTAGAGTTCTCGATCTAATTTACGGGCACTTCATGCAAGAGTATGTGTGTTTTTCCATGAAAAAAATCCCAAGATTCAAAGGGTACGTAGAAGTCCAATCAGCCTGCTACACAGCCAGCCGTGCCATTCAGCTTGGCACAAGCGTGAACGATGACTGCATTCCCAGCCTGTGGTAAGGGCAGTTAAAGAATGCGCTGCACAATCGGAGACCTCGGGACGGAAAAACTTGAGTTTGCTTTGAAAACTAGGAGAAAATAGTCGTAAGCAGAGATCTTCCTGATACTGGAAATTGTCAGTAATAGATTTCTGATGAGTAAGCAAAGGGCACTGAACCTTTAAAAAAAACTGGCCTCGTGAACACCTGAGCGAAATCGGATATCCTGGCAGAAGCGGANGTTCAGCAGGTCGTAAAACGATGACATAATAGGGGATTATTTGCTCTAGTTCACAGCGAAATTTTCATGTCACCCCACTGGCTTTCCGGGTACTGATAAATCATGTTTTTCTGGCTAAGTTTATACCATCATTCGAACTATTAAAGCGCAGGCGATTCATTGCTGGAAGCTCTCTGACTTACAATCATGCGATACTATACTGAGAAAGCCAGATTTCAGACGGGAGCGCAAAGAACTTGATTGATTGCCCATGTATCTTATAGGTAAGTATGGCTCCGTCGTACGTGAGCCAAATGGTGGCCCTCAATATGTGTTTGGTTTTTCACCCTATGATCTTACTTCTCCAGGTTCATACTGGAGTTATTGGTTAGAAGTCAGCAGAATGTCCTACTCCGCGCAAATTGTTCATGTTAGCACCATTATGCGAATGTCTGTTTATTGCGAACCCATCATATGGATCCAGGGATTTAAATACTATGCATTCTTGTTCAGTTATTTGTATTCGGCAAACTCATCTGATGGAAGTTTCGTTTAAATGCCATAAACATGACAAAAACTCATGGAATCAACTAATTTGCAGTTGGATCTATTTGTTATATTATTCCTCATTATACTTTGGAAAAAATCAACAATCTGTGAATAATTTTGCGGGTAATTTATTTGACTTAATATTGCGCTAAAGAATTGCCACACATCTATCGAGACCGACTGCCTTCAGAGGGGTTACGTACGATATATAAGACATTAGTTCTGGTAATTCATGGCCAAATCCTACCGAATTCACATTAACCATCTTTTCGAAATTCGCCCATCTATAAAGCTGATCAGCTGTCCCATTGTATTTTAGTGATATTTCATCAATGGCGAAAGCTGCTTGTTTCGCCTACTTCGGATCGCGTGCGTTAGTCATTACGCTTCTGATGCATAGGAAACAACAGTGCACGTAAATGCAAATCAATTGTATTTGTCGCAGCAGCACGCAATGTTCCCGACCAATACTTTCACGGAACATATGCGAGGTATAACCCCCTCAAGCTATCCACTTATTGCTTGTTTGTGACGCTCGAGATGTTGGACACAATGAACCAGGGAGCTGTGTCAAAAATATCTCACCAAAAATCATGCTGACTTTTTGCATGCTACATACTCAGGAAAATCCCAGTATAGAATAGAGTGAATCCACCGTGACGCAACTCCTTCAAGTATATACACTATAAAGCCAACATGAACATGCAATACTACACAGAAGAAATTCGTACCGAATAATTTCCTCAACGAAACTGGATCAACTTTCAGCAAAAATTAAAACGCCGCCCTGCCTGAGAAGAAAACTGCTGTTGCGTAGTCTAAAAAGTGCGCCTATGTTTGTGATAATTCTGCAGACCTCGTGAAGTATTCGATAAGGAAACAAATGAGAATCACATGAGCTTGGAGTTTTTCTGTAAGTGATACTGGTGAAGCGGGAGTAATGGGCTCTGGGAAAGTGATCCATTAGGAGCTTTTTCCGATTGGTCGCGGGTCTCACATGTGTATGCAAAAAATGTGGATTCAAGTGACCTTGGATTGGGTTATCACGCACGCTGAAACCCTCAAGCCTCTTCAGGCTATTACTGGGAATCGTAAAAATCAGGTGAATTCGTGACGAATTTTAGTGCGCACGGTAAACCGTGCGTACAAGTGAGATTGCCGATCGCTTGGCTCTAAAGTTGTGTGAACCTTCAACCTGGAAAATGGGCGGTTGATTCATATTATGTCCACCAGCTAGTTGCAAAAGTACAGAATCTGTGGGACCTACAACTTCTACAAATTAAACGAGATTAGCCTTTTTCACAAATAGCTGCTTTGTTTTCTGAACTAAGGCGATACCAAGATGAATTCAACTAGGGACCGAGAGACTATGTGGGATTTGCGGATAAGCTTAATGCCATCAACTCAGGTGACGAATGTTCCACTTCAGTCTGGACAGTATTGCAAGGAAATAAATGGGGACTGCAGTTTTGTATCCTGTCGTTAGGGTTTTCTTGTGCCTCTCGTCAAGTAAAATATGCTTTCTTCACAGAAGATTGTTTGTATACCCAATTACTCGATTCATGGTCTCACAAAACTAAAAGTCATTCTCTATAAACATTACACTCGTCTGGCTTTTAAATAACCTGGTAGAAATTCTGTCCCTTCATTTGCCTTTCGTGAAACTACGAGGATATTTATCCTATATTCTCAAGGGAATGTAACAAGGAAGAGAGTATTACCACTGTGTATCCCATACTATCTTTGACAATTTTCCGTATGACACTCAGATATCTAGGAAAGGTCGGTGTTATCTGACGTTTCTCCAGTTGAGCTTCGGACACCTAATCAGCGACGATGTGCACGCGAATACACTAGACGAAGTGTCAGGTGAAAGAGCGTTGGTACTTCCGGCTTTTACTCTGACAGTTCAATCATTGGTGCACCGGACTTTTGGGTAGCACACAGTTGTTACAGTCACCCGGCTCCTCACCATAAATCTATGAACCGAGTAAACCCTTGCCGGTCCTTAAAAGTGCAGATGAACTGAGGGAAACTCGTTATAACCTCACTTCTAAGACTATGATAATATTTTTTTGCCGCCGTACACTCATTTCTTCACATACTGTGAGAGTTGGATCAAAACCAGTTTTGTTAACAGGCGATGAAAATAAGAAACTGATAAATTAACACAGGACAAAAACAGCGAAATTTCACAGATCAGAAGTACCTCAGGACAAGGCTAACGCGATACAGCGACTATGTAACAAGCGTAGAATATGGTTGTCATAAAAGCGAAGTATATGTGACCTTAATGTCAAGGTTCTAACCAAAAAGTGGTTTCCAGTTTATTATCCCGGGTCAAAACTACAAACTTCGGATAGGGACAGAAGGCTGGACTGTGATGCACAACCAAGGAACAACTTTTGATCAAATTTTTTGGGCGTAAAGCATATCAATACGAATTTATCTGGACGAAGTTGTTTTGGAAGGGGACAAAGAACACTATGCGCAAGAACCCTGCTTTCTAATTCTCTAAGTGTTCCGCTTTGAAACCAGTAATGGACTGTCCTGAAGGTCCACACTCTACTAAAGAAAACTTAACCATTTATCTTAACAGTTAAGAATCTGTGACTCTCCCCACCTCATTTTTTTAGTTTGGTCAACCACTTCCACTGACAGCCATCCCGTCCTCCCAGGTAATTTTTGCGGAGTAATGACCTACAAATCACGGATAATGTGTAAGATGAAGTTATATTTTCAGGCTTAGCTCAGTTTCGGATCGTAAGTACCTTCTCATAATTTGTGATGAAAATTAAGCTGTCCTATGGAGTGGATCATAGGGCAGCTTCCAGAATTTACATAGGATTCAATCACCTGAAGGACCGTTAAGCCGGATAAAATAATGCGATGCGACCTATTTTCAAACTTGGTAACTGACCGTTCACATTCTTTAGACATACATGGTGATGTCCACGGGAAGCGTAATGTTTGCACATAACCTGTTTATAGACACAGCGGGATTCTATAGTTTGGATTGTAACTATTCCAGCAGTTGGTAGACGTCGTTTTATGCCAGACCGAGAAGCACCATAGGGAACTCAGTTTGCCAAAGTACGTCTCATGTCAGCTGCAGTCTGACTGCTTGGCTCCTGCTGTGTGTCCACGATTATGGACAAGCCGTTTTGTTTGTTATACACGCAGTCGCAACTTTCTGGTATATCTCAGCTGTTACTATCTAGTTGACACCACCTGTTCTGACATGATTGGCTCTTGGGACATTCAGCACCTTGCCTCAACCTCAAGCTTGCCTCATTCAGCGTAAAAGCACAACGGAGTTCCGGCGCTTACTCCTCAATATTTGCTATAACTGCCAAACGAGCAAACCCGCTGCTTACGATCATAGCGTAACTGGATTTCTCGAGTACGGTTAGACTCATTCACGACTGGAAGTGTTATGTCGCACGTTCGGCCACTCGGCACAGCAGCGACTAGTTTGTTGGTTCTTGATTAGGTGGCCATTGAAATGTTCGCTAAGATCGCCACCGCCCCGTCACTAAACAAGGAAGTATTAAAAATACGCGGTTGGATGGACTCCTACTCCTTAGCTCCGTGCGTTTGTATGACTTTTTAGGAGTATCTTTTTCTCTTACCGTGACTGGTCAACTGAGAAAAAGTCTTCCGGTTACTTAGCTGGTACTTCAGTTAGTTGCGTTGCGTTATGACACACCTCTGTTTGATTTGATTGGATGCCTGCTGTTTTAGTTGTTTTCTTTCCTTATTTCGATTAGCTCCTTGGGCTATTTGCAAATCAAATCACAGGTGAAAAGCACTTTGCGAGGCAGACGGTCCTCCAGCGTGTCGAATACATGTCCCAACCAGCGTAAGTCGTCCATCGTGGGAGAGTTCTTTTTTCCTCAAACCATCTAGGGTACCTCAAGGTTGCTAAGCCGATGTTCTAATCATATCCGGCCAGTGCTTCGAATAAACAAATGGTTAAATACTTACATATTTCGCGCATCCTCTGTACTCATATATTTCTGACCCATGAAACAGCATGGACCGCAGTGTATACTATACCCCTGATAAACAAACTGACATCACGTCCGTGTCACCGTTGTCGAAGGTTGGAAAAAGCTACCCTGGCCTCTCGTCTCCAGCCAGTTCACCACAATTTGTACGACCGTCCGTGCAAACATATCTATCTACCGGCGCTCCAATGCCACACCCTTCGTTAAGCACCAGTTGAGATAAGTTCACTCTGATTCTTAGGAATAAAAGATACTCGTGCGGCAGAAGTATCACCTGCTTACTCAACGCAAGTGAACCATTTCGCCCCTGGCAACAACAGTGAAAAGATTTTATACAGTACTGCGTATTTCACTCAGTTTTATGGGAATCGATAAACGATATCCGTGTCTCACCAATAAATGCGGTGCTACTGTTCACTGTCTTACCATCATACTTACGCCACTTGATACCCCTCAAAAGACCTTTCCTAATTCGCCAATCGATCTCATTGCCTCGACATTCACCTGATCCACAGATGCACAATGCAGTAGCACATCCGGCTGTGCGCAATTCGCCCGGTGGGCAATTACACTCAGGCAGTATAGTGCCTAGGCACCTATATCAGAATTCTAGGCTTTTTATAATAAAACATAAGCCTGTTCTTCTCTCACTCATATACGACGCGAAGTATTTAAAAAAACCGCCATTCAGCACGAGGGCATGTGTTTAGCGCCAAATGAAACTATTTGTTGCGCGTTTCCCTCAGACTGCTGCTGGATATTGCAGATTCAGTCACTCAGCCTACTCCAGATTTTGACAATGTAATTGCATGGGATAAAAAATGGAAAACAAGCCGACCGTTAGTCCCCTCAATAAACAAGACGATAACCAAGCTTACCAAGATGGATAGCTACATCCAAATGCGCACCACAATAACAATGGTGCGTTTTGAGACAAAGAGGCTGATGTCATGCTGCTGCTGCTGCCTGCTGCTGCTGCTGATTATTATTATTATTATTATTATTATTATTATTTCTGTTCTTAATTTGTTCCTGGTTTTCTCTGTTAACTACTTTGCCACGACAAAGTCAGTATGTTGAAGTGATTTCCAAAGAGTGGCAGATCAATCTCAACGGTAAAAAGTTATCAAAAACGAGTTCCTTATCTTCTTGGTGCACAGCATTAGTTCGGTTTCCCTCTAACTTAGATTTCTGAACACCATCAAATGACAAATCCTTCACTCTCACATGGTGGCCTCGTGCTCACCCTCAAGCAGATTGATGGCACTTACTTGGAAGTGCAGGCAAATATCCAGTAAGTAAATTAAAAGACAGGATGATTCTCGCACGTATTGAGTGGGTCTGTCTTGATACAACGAAGTGAAATGCACATATCTCCAATTAATACCATGCTGAGAGTGTTCGTGAAAACAGCGCCTCCTAATTTATCGCACAAAATGACCGTACGCGGTGTGGTTAGACTCTCATTTGAAATCCAGGAATGTAATTTTGTGAGGAGTTAAACTCGCACTCCTAGTAGTGTTTCCTATTTCAAAGGTTAGCTAACCTTGTCCCTAATTATGCCCTTATTTTTAATGCACAACATATGTAAGAGATTCCTGCTTGGTTGGACCTTTGGCACACACACAGGCAGCTGATAATCAACTACCAATTTTCGTAGATTGTACTTCTATATGTTGCGTGATCGTTTCTCTTCCATTAGTTATCACAAGTAGGATAAGTTTATGTTGATTGTAAAATAAATGCTCGAGATCTTATGCAGCAAATGAATACACTGAATTTAACTTTTTTACTGCGGAAAATAATAAACTCACGTTTGCCGAACCATTTAAGTCTGATGGAATCGTTGTGGAGTAAAACAGGTTACTCCAGATGGAAGTATTGAGGACGATGTATAATTATGCTCAGACCCTCAGGAAATCGAGCATCGCAGTAATCGGAAATTATGAAACTCTAAAACCAGTTTTTGGTTGAGTCAAGAAATTAGACATTTAATTAAGATTTTCGCCATTTGCTACGATATTTGTAAAAATATAGACGAATAAGATAAAGCTATAAGATGAACGATGCTTCATAGTTGCTTGGGCTCAGGGATGAGACGGCTAAACTACACGATGATCCAGTCCCTGTTTTCTCAGTGTCATATTTAGTGTATACATAAGTGGTGCGATTTTTTACTCGGAAAGAAAGTATTGATCCGTCACTCGCCATCTGAGCAAAACTGATGTATAAGCATGCTCCCTAAACTGTGCGTCAAATGGGCAATTTTCCTGCTTGCTAGCCGGTCTCAAATGATAATCAAAATATGGTTAAAATAGAATAATAAACATTGGGAAGTGAACAGACAATCTATTACAATCTATTATTGCCTAGCTCTTATAGCTTTAACGCAAATTGTAGCTGTGACGTGTGTTCACCATTGTTTATCTTTTAAAACATCGATAAACTCGGTAGAGTCAAAGCCATAGAAACCGGTGTTGTAGTCGGATGATGCACGTGCTGTCAAAGGACTTGAATGATTTTGTGTGACGGTCGACTTTTGTATATACACAAGTGGCAAAGAGCAGCGCTATTGTGATGCTCCCACTTGTTGGATAATTTCTTCAATTGTCCCTTATCCTGGGGTGCGACGAAACATGATATAGTATGAAAATGACAGCTAATACAATGGATTTAAACCAGTCAAGAAAAGTTTCAATGGTTATTTGGTTCATTCACTTTTTCAACAGTATTGTTCATTTACTTGGCTGATGTGAGTCTCGCGATTAATTCAAACACCGGTATTTTGAACACTCCCAAAGGCCTGTCGATTAACGAAGATCCAATCAACATCACTGTCAGGTCATAGCGGTGGTAGCTGGAATTCACTCACGCCCCTCGCCTCTGTGCATTCACAAAGTTTTTATATACGCATTGGGACGTCCATGGTCTTCTAACCTTACCACTGGTAACTCAGGACAATTGATCGTGACAGCCTTCGTACTGTCATTCACAGACTCCGCGTTATCTTTGTTTTTATTTTGTTTATCGTTCGCTCGGTGTTTTGGAAAATCCCCGCTCTATATAGACTAGAAGAGACTGAGGGAAAATTGATGTCTATCAAATTGTGTTCCGAATTTTGATTTTTTGGAGTGATGCGATAGTTTCGATATTGTGATTTTGCATTGTTCAAAATCTCCACATTCCGGACGTCATTCTACTAGGATGTCACAAGATCTTAAAGACTTATTTGACCTGATCCACAGAACTCGGTGTTATACATTGATGTATACATTTGTGTGGTTGTATTTATAACAGAGCCCTTCTTCTGCAGAATGGACTATGTAGATCGCCTGCCTCATTTCCAGGCATGAAGCGTGCATAGTCCTCGCATCTCTTACTTCTGATTTGACCACAAGAGAGTGAGATAATCGAATGTGAGTGCACTGGTATGTACTCGCCCTCTATAGCTACCTAGCTAACTCCAGTATGGGCTGTTGATACGGCTTACCGTGCCTCTTCTAGAAACAAGCTAGGTAGTTACAGCTTGCTCCGAGCCGCTGGTGTGTTCGGTCGCAGGAACATGGTGGAAGTGGTCCTCTGCCACCATTAAGCTCTGACGATCATTCAGATGTTTGAGCAGGCAAGGGTCCCTTGAATTCTAAATCCCTTAAAGCCGTTGATGTGCTGTTGAAGTGTATAGATCAACGGCAGTCGTGTCAATTGCTGAGTAGACGCGCACAACTGTCCTTCCACTGGAGAAGAATAGGGCTAATAAAAGTTCCTCTCCAGGGTGATGTTTTGGCAGCGCTTTCTTAAGACGAGCATATAAGAACTACAGGCATCTTGTTCCTTCATTTAGCTGCTTCATTACCTTTTCTGGTCAGAAAGCTTTAAGACACGACAAACTCAAAATAGTGGGCTGCTATTTGCTTGCTCTACGAAGGTGTAGTCGCTGTACCGCACTGTGTCTTGTTAAGGATGTTGCTGGATCATCACTTATGTTTTGACACTGTGCTAATGATTTTATCTGCATTCACTGAGGACTGCACTAGTTATGATAGGGACTGTTGGTCCATTGTTGAAACTACCATTGGCCCAAGTGGCTTTAAACTCCATGCTTACAAATCGATGCCTCTGTTGTCCACCAAAGAAATATCGGGAATCTGGTATCGTTCAAAATGAGATTTTCGGAGGTTTGTCACCAATGCGACTGTGGCGCTGATCAGCTGAAAAACCAGAAAACGCCTTAACAGTCAGCCACTAAAAGATATTGGTTTTTTGGCTACATTCAAGGAGATCCGCTGCCACTAGAGTCCATGGACGGTTCAAAGATATTCGTGGCAAACTTGGTTATTTATTGACTCTCTTACCGATGGTTTGACGGACGGTGCATCTTGAGAAGTAATCTTTGAAAAGGTTCCTCAATCCGGGTGAGAAACAGAGCTCATGGCTCGATTATACGATATGTAAGAAATTCACATCATCCAGTATGCACAGTCGGTCACCTCTGAATGTCAGATCAATCAAAAATGAACATTGTTCCTTGAAGAAAAATGAGTTCTACTGCACAAGGCTCTTTTGTGGGCAGCCGGCCTCTGTGAATCACACCATGTTTTCACTTAAACACTAGTTTTCATTCTGTAACCCCTGTGATTTCTTGAAACTTCTTGTCTGGGAAAGAACTCGTATCAACAAAACTGACTCTCTCTCTATCTCCTGCTCCATAAACCCCGCAAAAGTGTCAACTACATAGAAGTTTGAATTCCTTGTATCTATTTTTTACTCATATATTTGTGCCTTCATAAACATCTTTTGCGACGAGTTTAGCACCTCACCTGGAGGTATTCTGAAGGCAGAAAGGACGGGCTTGTTGACCATACTCACCAACATCGCTGTGCAGAACGAGTAGGTTTTGAAGCAACCTGGGAAGTAGATGGTCTTACGCAGTTTTGTTCATTTTTAAGAATGCGAGTCTTATAGTTTACTGACCTGCCCCTGTGAGACAAAACTTTTCCGAAAGCGGAATGATTAGTGTCTAACTTAATGAGTAGACGTCGATTTGGATCATCTAAAAAGATTATTCATTAGCCACTTGCTTTATCTGTTAAAACGCCCTTTTCTGCTCCTCAACCTCTATCATGAGACATTCTTGTACGTTCGGAAGCGAGTTCGCCGCTAACAATCGCGAAAAAGACTGATAAATTTGAACATGCCATTCAGCCTGAAATCTATGGTAGTATTCACGAGGGCGATAGTATGAATTACACAGAGCTCCTTCGGACATGCACGCCAACCATTTGCTGTTAGCAGATGTTCATGAAAAGTAACAGACTCTGTCTGCTATTGCACATTAACTGGAGATTGATTGAAAAGGCAGTCTGAGTTGCCAGCTTGTTCTTCAAGTGTTCTCTCTAATAGTACTACTTCGTCAGCAATGTAGATCGTTCCTTGAAGTTAGGTCCGTTCTATTTGGACCTAGTGAGACATCCTGATTAGCCATTAAGTCTCAGTTACCAGAAAGCAGGCGATAAACCAAACCCCATGAACAGCCTTGCCCGACACTGGTTTAGAATTATGTCATCTAGCGACGCAGCCGCTGAGGATGGACGCGGAGTTGCAATGTGCCTGTTTTTTATAACTGGTGCTATCTGACTAATCCTATCTGTCGGCCCATCGATTGGCTTTAGGATGCCCAGCGTCATAAGATGATTCATTGCAACACGCAACATTTCACGTAGCGTTAATGGAACCATCTTACTGCGACAGCAACGGGAAATGCACTCCACGAGACGGACAAGCTGACGCTCCACGGTAGACAACCTAGTTAATCAAAGAAAACGAGGAGATATTTCTCAAAACCAGTGTCATGCAACACTATGCAAACACTCCGATTTCCGATCTCTCAAAGATCAAGAATTGGTGTCACCAAGAATTTTGAGGTGGGCAGTTGTCCCACCTTGGGTTTTTCGACGGTAGAGTTTGTTTCGTGGTCGCGTTGCTGGGTGTTCTGCTAGATTCCATGGACGAAAACCAGTTCTTGGACGCAGCGATCAGAGAACATGTCTATGGAGGCTCCTGACTCCGTCTGGAATCGACAGTGCTGGCGCTCACCAAGTGGGCTAGTATGGATCCCATTCCACCCACTGACTCTCACCCCATTGTATCGCATTTCTCTGCTTCCATCTTCACAATTTCAATTGCAGCTGAGCAGTATTTACGTGCAAGATGAGTTTATCTACCGCATTTGGGACGTGCCGGCCTCACGTCAGACACCGCTGTTTTATATTCAGCTGTGTAGACCCGCAGGAACTT